TTAAGAATATTTTCGTGATGAAAATCTATTTCTATCTTTTAGACATGTCCTATTGAATCTCTTATTCGGCCATCTTTTAAAACCTTAATGAAAACATCATAAACTAGACATAGTCTAGCTGAGAGCCAACACTAGGTATACACCGGATCATTACCGCAGGTGGCCTCTTTATGAACATACAGATTGACCTCTTTGTTTGCTTAAAACATGAGTTCATGAAATCTAGTATCAATGCCATGTCTTGAGTTTAAGAAGTTTAATGTCAATTCATTATGAATTCATCCCATAATGATACGAAAATTTAATCACCAAACAATTGTCCATCAATTTGGCAAGAATTCATATAGCTACATAAATTTAGGCATCAAGTAATTGTTCATCAATTCGACAAGAATTCACACAAACTATGAAAATTGAGGCATTATGCAATTATCCATCAATTCGGTAAGAATTTACACAAGCTACAAAAATTTAGGCACCAAGAAACTATTCATCATTCGGTAAGAATTCACACAAGCAATCAAAGCAACATACCTCATCATGCTTCTAGAAATTAAGGGCAAATAATTCAAAATATGGCATCAAGCAATTATCCATCAATTTAGTATGAATTCACACAAGCTATGAAAATTTAGTTACCAAGCAATTGTTTATCAATTTGACAAGAATTCACACAAGCTATAAAAATTTAAGACCAAGTAATTATCCATCAATTTGGTAAGAATTCACATAACCAAAACAAGAAACATACCTCATCATGCTTACAGAAATTAAGGAAAAATCATTCAAAGCAAGGCATCAACCAATTATCCATAAATTTGGCAAGAATTCACCTAAAACACAACAATTCAAAAGGCATGTTCACAATCCTTCATCAATGGAATTCATACACACTTGGTCTTATAATGTAGATGAGAGTTACACTTACTTAGATAAGCTATAGATGAAAGAAAACATTTCAAGATCCTTTAAAAACTTCACCTTGGCCCTTATCCTAGCTCTTAACCAATTGCCTAAAACTTCCTCCCTCTCAAGGCCTCTCTATGTATCCTTCATTTTCTAGAAAACAAAAATGGCCAAAACAAACTTTCACCAATTTATAGTGCTAAGCTATGCATAAAGAAATGGTTGAAAATCATACGTGATGATAACTCCAAAGCCAACTCATCCATGTAAGCTTAGGTGGTGACACTCATTTATGCTCTAACTGATGGTAAAATACCCCCTCTCACTTATTCAATGAATTTAATCAAGTTCCTTTATTAAGCATGAATCACTAAGGTTTTCACATTACATACAAGAAATACAAATAATATTAAGGGCAAACAAAGCATGACATTCGACAATGAAGCGGACAATAAGATATGAAAATCATCAATGAAAATTGCATATCATGACTAAGTAGTTTTTAATGTAAACTATATATATGTCAAGCTTAAGGGTCTCGACTGTTACATCTTTCCATCCTTATAAAAAAAATTATCCTCTAAATTGACTTACTCAAACAACTTCAAATACTTAACCCTCATTTTGGCCTCCCTTTCCCACATAGGTTCCCGTATATTGTGATTCCTCCATAAAACCTTAACCAATGAAAAACACTTATTTTTAGTTGTTTGACCTCTCGGTCTAAAATTTGGATTGGCCCTTCTTCGTAGTTGAAATCAAATTTTAATTCTAATGACTTGATTTTAAAGATGTGGTTCGGATCGTTGATGTACTTCTACAACATGAAGACTTGGAAAACATTATGCACCACAACTAAGTAATGCACATTACATAGACAATGTCTAAACTAAGCTTAAAGACTATATCTATATTACACTTTTTAGCAAACTCCAAATGCATCTAACATCACCACCAATGCGACAACATGCTCTAAGCCTCCTTACGATCACTTATACCATAAAACATAAAAACATAAGTTCAACATGAGTTTGTTAAACATGTTTTCATGACGAAAATCCATTTTCTATCTTTTGAAAATGCACTATCAAATGTCTAATTTTATCCTTTATTTAAACCTTGATAAAAACATTATAAGCTAGATATAGTCTAGCCAAAAGCCAACACTAGGTATATACTAGTCATTTCTCCGAGTAGCTTCGTATATAAACATGCACTTGACCTTTTTGTTTGCTTAAAACATGAGTTCATGAAATCTAATGTCAATGCCTTATCATGAGTTTAAGAAGTTCAATGTCAATTCATTATGAATTTATCCCACAATGCTATGAAAATTTAGGCACCAAACAATTATCCATCAATTTGATAAAAATTCACACAAACCATGGAAATTTAGGCAACAAGAAATTTTTTATCAATTCGATAAGAATTCACACAAGCCATAAAAATTTAGGCACCAAGCAACTATCTATCAATTTGGTAAGAATTCACACAAGTTACAAAAATTTAAGCACTAAGAAATTGCCATCAATTCGATAAGAATTCATACAACCAAGTCAAACAACATACCTTATCATGCTCACAGAAACTAAGGGCAAATCATTCAAAATAAGGCATCAAGAAATTATCCATTAATTCAGTAAGAATTCACGCAAACTATAAAAATTTAGGCACCAAGCAATTTTTCATCAATTCAACAAGAATTCATACAAGCCATGAAAATTTAGGTTCCAAACATTTTGTTCATCAATTCAGCAAGAATTCACATAACCAAGCTAAGAAACCCCCTCCTCATGCTTACGTAAATTAAAGGCAAATCATTCAAAACCGGACATTAAGCAACTCGCCTATCAATTCGGTAAGAATTCAACCAAAACATACAATTCAAAAGGGATGTTCATAATCCTTCATTAGTGGAATTCATACACACTAGGTCTTGTGATGTAAGTGAGAGTTACGCTTAATTGGACAAGCTATAGATGAAAGAAAACACTTCAAGATTCCTCAAGAACTTCACCTTGTCCCTTGTCCTAGCTTTCAACCAATTGGCCAAATCTTCCTCTCTTATGGTTAGCTCCCTCTCAAGGTCTCTTTATATGTTTTTCCTTTGTAAGAATAAAATCGCCAAACCTTGGCCAAAGCAAACCTTCACCTATTTATAGTGCTAAGCATGCATAAAGAGATGGAAAAAAATCCTAGATGATGAAACCTCTCTAGCAAACTCATCCATACAAGCCTAGGTGGTGACACTCATTTTTACACTAACTCAAGGTAAAATAATCCCCCTTATTACTTGTTCAATTAATTCAATCAAGCTTCTTGATTAAGCATCAATCACTCTAGGATTTCTACAAGATAACATACAAGCAATACACATAATATTAAGGGCAAACAAGGTACAACATTCGACAATTAAGCATATAATAAGACATGAAAATCATAAAAAAAAAATTACATGTCATGATGTAGCTTTTTTTTTTTTTGCAACACAAATATAGGTATAGAACATCAAGTAAATCTCTCTCACACACACACATATGTGTGTGCGTGTACATATATATATATATATATATATATATATATATATATATATATACATATGTATATATTCGTCGGATCGTTATATATAATCAACCAAAATTTTCATTAATTTAAACTTTTAAAGTTGAGGAGGATATATATCAAATTTATATTTGTTTCAATTTTAGGGAAAAAAATAAAAAAAGCATTCCAACTTCAAAAAAAAAAAAAATTAAAAATTGAATTATTTATGAAAGTAGATTCAATTTTTATTAGAAATTATAAAAAAATCAGTTGAATACCAAAATATGATTATTTTTTTTTAAAAAAAAGGATTTTGTGGTTAATTCTAATGATCAAATCAAATGGATGGACAAATATTTGCCAAAACATAGTTGTTTAAGGACAAAAATGAGTAAATTGATAGCACAAGTCTCAATTTTCCATAACCTTAATAATTAACGAGAAAAGAACTACCACTAAGCTGTTAATAAAAATTGTTTATAGTCAATAAAAAACAAACTTAAAATAAGGAAAAATAGCTGATAATTACTCTGAGATGAAAATCTTTTACGAGATTACTTTTGTCATTAAATCTTAGATTTCTTCACTAATTAATTCTAGGTTTTTCCTTCTACGTACCTAGATTTTCAAGCATGGCAAGCGTCAAATAGTTATTTCCAAATAGTTTTCGGCAGCTTAATCAAACATTGAAAGCTAACTTGGTGTTTAGGTAAAATATCTTTCATGTAAAATATTTTCTAATTAGCCGTAATATTTTATTATTTTTTGGTACATGAACTTCCGTTGTAATGTATATATTTGGTTTTGGTATTGATGGAGAGCTTTACCTCGGTAAAGCCCAATAAAAAAGGCCCATAATCCCATAACTTGAAAATCCATCAGACGCAACAAATGTCCATAACTTATCTGGAGTAAAAATTCATCATACGGGGCCAAGTCCTCCAAAGTACAGCTACTCCCAATAAGATAACTTGTCTTCTAGAAAGAGTTTGGGAACCTCTTATCCTAAGGCGTCTTGGCCTGAAAAAAAAACAAAAAAAAAAAAAAAAAAAAGGAAGACACTTAACTCTTGTATTATCTCCCAAGGACAATGCTTTTAATGAAAAACATTCCATGATAACATCAATCACATTGCCACTCATCATGACCACATTAACAATATTGTAAGATCAAATACAACAATAGTAGAATATCAATCATTATTGACTTTTCCACTAACTCAAAAAGGAAAGGACATCTTAATCCTTTTCATCATATAAGTTGCATTTAACATTGCCTATGTAAAGGCCCAAGCCACCCCAAAATAAAGGGATCTGGATTTTAGAATTCTCAAACACATTAAAATTTCAATTTTTTTTTTTAAAAAAAAAACTCTCAATTGCAATTAATTTGAAAAGTATTGTGGGTTAATTTTGGAATATCAGGAATTTAGAGAAACAATCGGAAAGAAAATAAGGGTTAATTGGTGAGAATTAAAGCTAGAAGGAGCGATTTGATTGGAAGGAAATTGAAACGCGAAGGGAAAAAATTAAAAGAGACAAGTGAACGACATGATAAACTTAAAAGTTATCCCGAACGACCAGTCCCCCCAACCACACAAACCACCACACCCACCCACAGCGGCGGTTAGTCATCCTCTAGGTATAGAAGACAATGATGAACCAAACAATGAGGTCCTGGCTGGCGCTCATACCAGCCAGGAATCACGCTCCATTTTTTTGCACCTATACCACATACCACAGAGTATCCTCTGTGTGGCTATAATTCTTCTAACAGAAACTAAGGTACTCCTCAGTGCAGAGCTTGTAGCAGCTAACTTTATTATGTCAATTGTCGTCTTTGGCTAGAGTTATCCCTGCTAGTTAATTTGTACATTTCTGAATTAATTTCGTATGTTAAAGCATAGATTCAAGATTCGCATGTCGCATTGTTGGATCGTGGAATAATTGGTAATTAGTTGTAGCTCTTTCAATATTATCCACTAAGCTTGAATTTTATGTATCCAAAAATAAAGGAAGAAAAGTTGCAAGAGAAGCACCATTTTTGTAATTTACATAATTCCCAAAGAAAATCTACCTCTTTAATTTAATTCATGAATATATAATAAATATGGGAAAGGTTCGGATTTGAGTGGCCCTCATTTCTAGTGGATTCCATTTGCTTTATGCTATGATCAATTACATTTGGTCAAGCAAGGTCTCAAATAAGTTAATTTCTTAAACATTCATTTTACGCCCTCATAACAAAAGTCTACCTAAATATGTAAAATTAAAAATAACAAAAGTTTAGCTAGATGTATTTAATTAATTAGGGGTGCATGTGTCGCCGACACAAAGAAAATTCAACCTAAACCGTAATTCATCATCACTTCGGTATTTGACATCTTCTTCGTCGACCTCACTTCTGACAACAACATTTTCTTTTTGTCAAGTTATTTTGAAGTTGACGCTACAATATGTTGGTGTCAAAGCCAATTAGTTCACATAATTAACATGTTTCAAGTGTGTTTCATTCATTCTTATATAGCTTGCAATCTTTTTCTATGGTCCCCAATGCATGTGTATAGTACAGAAATGCTAGGTAGATGCAATCTTTTTCTATGGTCCCCAATGCATGTGTATAGTACAGAAATGCTAGGTAGATGCAATCTTTTTCTATGGTCCCCAATCTTTTTCTCCTCACATTTTATTCATATGATCCTGACCTAGATTATGATTTTGATTTTTTTTTTTTTTAAGTTGATTATCGCAATGCCAAAACTAAATATCTTTTAGACGGATGATCTATCCACATCCAAAATAATGTATTTTATTCAGTCTTAAAACTTGATTGATAATGCATGCGAGAAGCAAATCCGTATAGCATTTACATTCCAAACTAATAAATGGAATTGGATGTGTCATCACATGAAAGCCATAAATCTCTACCATAAACCAAACGACAAGTGACATCACACAAAACCCATAAATCTCTACCTTAAGTGTCATATACACAGACCATCCTTTTTCTAAGCTAATGACACATCCAAGCAAAAGCTTGGGGTATGTAACCATGCTACAAGCATCGACAGGCAGATACATATGCACCACTAAATAACACCCACGAGAAGAATCGAGTTGATCCATATTGTCAATCAACAGGCGATACATCTATTAAATCAAAATACATTGTCAAGACTACTTTTGTTTAACCCACAACAACGATCCATCATGTTATTCCATCAATGACATGTTAATATAAAATACACTTATCTCCTAACTAATATCAAAGTTGGTTGGCCATAAGCAAATAGATAATTCTATCCCTCCTTCTATGGAACTTGATAAGTCTATTGACAATATAAACAACCAAGAGACCTAACATTAAGGGTTTTTAAATCTCTTCTATTGCCATTAATATTAATCTTCTTTCTTACTCTTACACCATAGCATTCTCTAGTTATTCTCTCCATTCTTGAACTAATTTGATTGTCGGAAGATTGTCCATCTAATAAGAATGACTTGTTTTTGTAGAAATTTCATCCATCCAGCACAACCACATCTTTTAGTGGAGAACACCACTCTCATTAAAGAGTCATATTGTCCTTAAGGGTTCTACAACTTCATCACAAAGTAAGTCCCCGTTTTAGTTAGGTGTCCATATCTAGAACTATGATCAAGTTAATCTTTAACTAGATCAAAAAGTGAGGTTACCTTTAACCTTCCACTCACAACAACAACACCACGTAAATCTAAGTTTTTGTTGGTCACAAAATACATCATATTAATCTTCACAATAAAGAGACTTCTAATGTAAAATAATATAATGTGTTCAATATATTATATAAGGTCCCTCTAATGTTGCCACTAGTTTTTTTTTATCACTTAGAAAGGTTGTGCATTGTCAAAGAGCAAAGAATAATTTTATATTACTCTCCATTACATCATCTCAAGTAAAAATCCTTTAACCTTGAAAATTACACGGACTCAACACCACCTTTTACTTAATTATTTTATTTTAATTAAAAAAAAATAGAGGTATTGAGATTCAAACTCATGATTGTTTGGTGAGCAAGGCTCTAATACCATATCAAAGAACTATCTCAACCCAATATCTTAAACTATTAGGTGAGGCCCAAAAAATGATTTTATATTATTCTTCAATATCCTTAGCTAGCATTACTTGATCTTAAAGAAAAATTATGTGCTTTTTTATTTTCGACGGTAAGGATATCCTCACACTAGCTTGTGCGTCAACTAAAATTAAGTCCCCTAAGTTAATGCATTCACAAAAATTTAATAAATTACCCTAGGTGTTGGCTCTAATATTTGAATATAAAAAGTCAATAAATAGAGTAAAGCTCTTTAATCACCTGCACAAACCCATTGAGATTAAATTATCTATTTTATTGAAATATCTATAATTACACGAGATAAGGTTACTAATAAAGTTATTATTTATAAAGTGCTAGTATTTTTGGCTCATAGATTGTGTGTGGATTAATGTAAATACATACAAAATTTAATAAAAATTTTAAACAATTTTGTACAAAATAATAATTTATTTTGGAGTAAAGTTTGAATAAGTAACATGTGCTAATTTTATGAATTCTTGTTCCGCTCATGGTTTTGGTGTTTATTTATTTATTTATCATTATTATTATGAAATTGAAAATTAGATTAATGAAGGTAGTAGAAAGCTAACCAAAAAAGGTTACAACCAAGCTAAGAAGCTATTAAACTAATAAACACTAGCTTTGTTAAAGAATCGCCTATCAAGTTCCTTTCTCTAAATACATGAGTGAAAGTAACTAATTTTAAATATAAAATCAAATTAGATATTACATTAAAAGAACTCTAAATCTTTAAGGTTGTATGAATTGAAGGTTTATGTAGCCAAGTCATAATAGTAGTTGAGTCAAACTTGACAATCCAATGTGTAGCAATATTTCCAAAACTAAAGTGAACAGTAGATAATTATCTCTTGTAATGCAGATTTAAACCTTTGCAAGAAAGAGCATTTTACAGTGTACAGCCTTTATCGATAATCAACATAGTCCATGCATCCATAAAAGAAGCCATTAAAATTTATAGAGTGCTAGCTCCACCTTTTTTGACTGAGAGAAAAAAAAACAAAAAATAAACTTTTGAGAACTATAAGAAGGGCTTCCTAGTTGCCGCTGTGGAGCACTCTTGCAGTTCATTTGACAATCTCATGGAATCTGCTCCACAGATAGCCAATGAGCACCTACCAAAATGGGAAGGCAAGGCTTGTGCGGATCTAATAGGACCCAAAGAAGAACAAGTATGGCCTCTTCTGGAAGACTTCTTTGGCCTAAACAAGTGGTTCCCAACTCTCACCACCTGCCTTCCGGTTGAAGGCATCTCTGGCCAACCCGGATGCGTGCGTTACTGTGCTGGTTTCAAGACCCCAGTTGATATTAATGGTGAGATAAACTGGACTAAGCAGAAACTACTATCCATTGATCCAAGTGAAATGACATTCAGCTATTCCATTGTTGATGGAAATGTTGGGTTCCACTCATATGTGTCAACAATAAAAGTGTTACCAAAGGAATACGGGTGTAGCATTGAGTGGGCGTATGAAGTTGAGCCAGTGAAAGGCTGGAGTTTAAAGGATTTGGATTCCTTTATTGGCTCAGGTTTGCAAGTCATGGCTAAGAGAATGGAAGAAGCTCTCAAGGCTTGATCAGTTCGTTTCATATTATTTGGTGTCCTTCTTCTTGTTGTCGTTCTTGCTGGTAATTAATGTTCATTTATTAGCTAAACCTGTTGCTATAATATATATATATATATATATATATATATTTTTTTTTTTTCCACCGTTGCTTCTGCTGCTCTGGTGCTAATAAAGTTCGTGACATTTGAGGCTGCAGCATTAGTTCTTGGTAACCTTGGTTCTAAGGTATTGTATGGACTATAGTGCTCATGTAATTTGATCAATAATAAGGCTGCACGCGCGAGTGGGGCTTTTACATGTCTTACAATGAATTCAATAAAGCACAAGCATTTATAAGTAGTTAGCAGCAACTATGATTAGTTCCTGTCTTCCTGATTAATGCATGTTTCATAAGATGAATAATAAGGTTGTACTAGCTAGTAGGCCTTAATTTGTTTTGTCTGAAGCACTCTGCATCCATAGAAGCATATACACATAAGCACTGTAAAATTTTCCCTATCTTACACCTTCAAGTATTAAATTCCTTTCATTTATTTATTTATTTTTACGAGCTTGATAGATTCAATATTATTCAGAAAGCTCCATGAGGCAAGAAAAAAAGTTTGGAGGATAAGAGGGTACAGGCAGAATGCCAAGATAACGTTGAAAACAAATCTAATAAAAAACAGTCTATACATAGCAAGTTAACAATATGGATTTCTATTTCATGCTTTTAATCAAAATAATAGATTTTTACTTCATGTATTTTTAGTCATATTCATATATAAGTTTTCATTTTACCATTTTCAATAAGAATTATATATTTTTATTTCATGTATTTTAAGTGAAGTGGCGGATGTTCATTTAATGCTTTCTTATGTGGGTTTTTATTTTACCCTTTTAAAATTCATTTTATGTTTTTTAACTAAAGCTGTGAATTTTTATTTCATGTCTTTTAAATGAAGTCATGGGCTCTAGGTGCCGCAAACTTGTCCTAAACAATCAAGGATACATTGGGCTCTAGTCCATATATATATATATATATATATATATATATATATACACTAATAAACTTCAAACATAAATAGGAATCGTTATGCAAGTAGGATAAAATAAAACATCAAAAAAATAAAGTATACTAAAATAAATAAGAGCTAGATAATTACGAAAACATACCGCCTTGTGAAGACATGGGCACGCTCTCGTAGCAATCATTTTGCATTGATATGGCTAATGAGGGGCTTAGAAGGACCAATTTGCAAAATTTTGACACTTAAATATGGGATGTGAAGAATAACCAGATACAATGATTCACTTGCTTTTTTTTTTTTGCATATGACCATTATGATCCCTATTTTAGTCATTGCCAAAATCAGAATACGTATTCCTGTAGCAATTACTTATTGATAACGTACAGTACTGGCTGTTGGAATATTTTTTAATAAAATATTAAAAGTTATTTAAATTATTAAAATTGAAAAAAAAAACAAAAACAAGGCCATCATTTCAAACAATTTGTACTGTTTTTATAACAGTTTCATAACAGTCCAATTCATTTAAAAATAAAATTTAAAAACATTTTTTTTAAGTTAAACTTTACTTATCGTTTTGATTTTAATTGTAATCATTTATTATAGGATGACCAGTTTTTGACAAATAGGGCAGCATGTATTCTTGTTTTATTTGATTAAAGTGACCAGCATGCTTTTTTTTTTTTTTTTTGGCTAAAGATAGCAACATGTATATTTTTATTTTCTTGGCTAAAGATAACAACAAATCATTTTGCTCTTCATATATATCTCCTTATTCTTGTCTTTTCTAGTTTTCCATTAAAAAAGCCATATTATTTTGTTCTCTTTTCTAAAATTTGAATAAGAGTGGTGCTATTTTATTTAGAGTTTTCATTCTTACAAATAATAAAAAAAATTATTAAGACATGACTTGTTATATCTTTGACATGGCATGTAATATATTGTTGATCTATTATATCGGATAAATTATGTAGATAGCCCGTATCGTTTCAAAAAAACAATTTGATTGTGCCTCAAAACAATCATCGTAAAATTCTGATAAAACTATTTTGATGATTCAATCATCTTCATGTCGTGAAAGTGATTTTAATTCCTAACTTTTCAAATGATCAAGGTAAAAGTTTCAATTCTTTTTTCATCTTTATTTATAACAAATTTATTTATTTATTATGTGAATTTTTATTATTTAATCCTATTACTTTTTATATGCTAAGAAGAACAATTTGAGACGATACAATATTTGCGATTTTATGACTAAAATCGTGAAAAAGAATTTTTAACAAAAAATAAATATTATGTTTTTTATAATATCAATTCCATTACTTGTCTATTGTTTGGTTTTTGATGATTCTATTTTAATTGAGCATAAAGCAAGTATTAAAAAAAATTATTTTGATGATATTTCTAGTAAATTTTATTGAAAATGTTGTTTTGTGGTAAAAGTGTTAAAAGACATTTTCTATATGCTAGCTCTTGATACCAATATAATTTTTTTATGCTCATTTGATTTTATATGTTTATATCTATGAGCTTTTAATGTATCATGTTAATATCATTCATCATGCTCTCTAACCATAGCCATAAAAAAAGTATGTATTTTTTCTTAAAACTATTGCTAGTAAAGCAAAGTTTATTTTGTGTTTAAATAATATTTTCATTGTCGACTAGAATGGATTTATGTGACATTATTGTAGGCCATGGGAGTTATTTGTTTGTTTTTGTATGATAAAATTTTCTAGCATATATATATATTTTTTAATTGCATAATTAATATTAGTTCTTAAATCATACCACAATAGAGTATGAGTTATTGTAGTCATCAACATTTACTTGGATAAAATTAATTATGAAACCTTGATGCAAAATGATTTTTTGTCCTTTATTGGAATGATATATTATATACTAATATACCATCTCAATTTTGAACGGGAGAATAATGATCATTTGTTATATTTTATTTTTTTAAATGTGACGTTTATGTTTTTGTCCACGGATTTATTAATACAAAAAGGTAAAATCATTTTTATTAGAAGATAAACTCCAATTGTCAATGGTTGTAAGTGAGGAGCATTGAAATGCCCATTGTTAGTGAGCTACTTTGAATGCATTTAACAAGTTCCAAGTTTTCGGTGATACTTACAATATGATAAGCATAAGAGATTGAGTAAGTGCCAAAAGAAAAATATTCGCATTTCTATTAATATTCCTTATGTATTTGAGATTCATTTCCAAAGATGAAAGTCTCGTGATGTTTGTATGTCAAGTAATTTTAGATTTTTGTATAAATAGTTGTTGATCCATACTTGAGTTTGTTTTTACTATAAATCATGATTAAAAAATATGGATGGAGAAATGTGAATTATCATATAAATTCTTGTTATTGAATGTTTGAAAAAGTTAATTGTTACTAAAATGTTGATTCACATAATTGTTTTATTAAGACTTGAAATGTCACATATTAAAATAATTAAGATCAATTGTATTTTGAATGCTAATTATTTTATGAGACTCGTGTTAAAGTTGTTATTATAATGTATGTTTGCCACCCATAGCCAATTGTGGCAATATAAATAATTATGAAACTAATAATCTTATTAGCATATTATTAGTAAGATAAATTGACAAGATACATGATTTAATAAAGGGCTTTTAATATAATATTTTCTATGTGAATATAAAATTTTAATATATTATCTTATTTTTTAAAAAATATATATCTTGATGATTGTAAGGCCACAAGAAATAAATTGTGAATGCCGATAATGAAATAATAGAATAATTAACATCATTAATTTGTCTACAGTGGTGGTAAGAAAATTATTTATTATGCAAATAGTGGAGGCATATAAAAAAATACTATTTCATTGAAAATATATATTTTGTCAATAGTTGGAGCATACATAAAAAAATTATTACTTTGAATATTTGATGGAGAAAATAATATTTTGTATTTCAATGTACACTATCATAATTCTCTCATGATGCTATTTATTTTTTTGCCTTCTAAGCTTTTAATGTGATGCTTGTGAATATATTTATTAAAGCATTCCTATTATACAAAAGGTATAATGATTCTTATGAATTTTGAAAAATATATTATTGAGAGAATGATGGAAAAAAGTGACACTCATATTGTACAATTAAAGTACACTACTATCGTAATGACATTGTCCGATAAGACAATTTGTGATAATTTGAGAAATTTAAATCTTTAGCTAAATATTGACATTCTTATTATATAGATGAGATACAATGATTTTAAATTTGAATGAGAAATTAGAAATTGAAAAATGTCCATTTGAATTCATTGGATTATATTCCATATTTTTTTTATTGTATTAGAAAATACAACGATGCCATCATGTTTTAGCATAAAGAGGATGACCTAAAAAATAAATAATAGTATGATCACTATTAGCTCATGTATGTGTGATGAAACTTAAACTTGTTAAAAGCCAAAGCCAATGAAGAAGCAAGTGGATGTTATGTTTTGTATGAAGTAAAGAAAATGGTACGAATGAAAGAGTCTCACCACTTGTCTTAGCACTAACAAATTCATTAAGTGCTAGTTACCTAATCTTTTGGGTTCATATATTAAACACTATTAGATGAAATCTTTATATAAAGGAAAAGAATTGAATGATACATCGAGAAGGATGAGACTAAGTCCATAAATAAATAAAATCTATCTAAAAGCTACAGATCCTAAGAACTAGGTTTAAGGAATAAAACAAGTATAGAGTGGTTTGATTGCATGCATAATTTATTTGCCTTACAATACTCATATTTCCATCTATATGTTATAATGCATGAATCTCATAAAGAAAGAAAAGTTAAGTTTCTTTAAATAAAAATTTTAATGTGGTCTATAGTTCTTTATAAATTGGATGTTAGTTATGGGAGCATCCTGGACATACACATCTATATGAGTGAGAAAGTTGAGTCACTTTTTATGAGAATATGGCTAATTCTCTAAAACACTCATAAAAGTCAGAATCA